AATGGCTGCAAAATAAATTAGTCAGCAAGATTGTTTACTTTTGCGGTAGCAGAACAGCTTCTATTATTTAATCGGCTGCAAAATGAATTAGTCAGCAAGATTGTTTACTTTTGCGGTAGCAGAACAGCTTCTATTATTTAATCGGCTGCAAAATAAATTAGTCAGCAAGATTGTTTACTTTTGCGGTAGCAGAACAGCTTCTATTATTTAATCGGCTGCAAAATGAATTAGTCAGCAAGATTGTTTACTTTTGCGGTAGCAGAACAGCTTCTATTATTTAATCGGCTGCAAAATGAATTAGTCAGCAAGATTGTTTACTTTTGCGGTAGCAGAACAGCTTCTATTATTTAATCGGCTGCAAAATAAATTAGTCAGCAAGATTGTTTACTTTTGCGGTAGCAGAACAGCTTCTATTATTTAATCGGCTGCAAAGCTGGCGATTGGACCACGGCAATAAAATATCCCGATTAGGGTAACTGAATAGTTTAACAAGAATGTAAAGGCAGAATCGCCAAAATAGGATATCGCAACAAACTATAGCAATGACACGATACGTACATTGCGTTTACTGGATCAGGGTAGGCGGAAAACCGTATCAAAAAAACTGTCATAGAACAATGAGAATAGGATAACAAGGCTTACTGCATTGAGTTTGGGGTCAGACTGAAAAAATCTAAATTTGCTTAAAATTATATTATAGAAAAACGAGGCAGTATTAAGAAGCGTTCAGTGGATCGATAGATAGTTCGGACTATGCGCGGGAAATGGACAAACCGGTCGATCGAACTGGTGTTTATAGATAAAATATCTGTAGTAGTGCAAATTAGATATCGCTAGCTCAGCAACCAAAAAGCCAAAGCGGGTTGCAACAGGGGGTTTTATAATAAAAATATACAGTTTTTTTTATTTGACTATAAGTAGTGTGCTCGTTTTACGAGTTCTTTTTTCATGACCCTGTCTACGTTAAATTTTTATAAATTGTATAATGTCGGAATCGATTCGCTGCTGTTATCTGACCTCTGACCGCTGACACCTCGATTCAACAACATCTGCCTGGGGTTTGTAAAGGGATATGCAGTTTCACTCATTGATTCATCCATGATTCTCGCTATTTCCATATACAAAACCGATACGATCCAACTTGTTTGTTATCCGTTAATTATTTTAGCTATTCGATCGCACTCTTTCAGTAATCCTTGCTTCAGCTGGCTGGCTTCAACTTCCAGTCAGCTTATATGTAATAGCTCCAGAAGTATCCAGCCTCAGTGCCGAACTCCGCGTCTACATTTTGGAAGTTCACCACTGACACGATGTATTATCTATCTGCAGCCTTTAGTTCTGAATACGCAAGAACTATGCCTACATGAGCCATGAATCAACAAAGTCTTCTATGAGCTTTTGTTGCTAAAAATGTTACCGAGCTACTTAACCCCTGCATATCAATGATATTTTTCCTTAATCTAACCTGCATTTCTGCAATGTAAATGCGCCTATGAATGGTAATTTTATTACTGCGGTTTACATTTAACAAGTGGCAGAGGTGATTGGCTACAACAATTAATTCAGCAATTGCTTCATTGGGTTACAAAAACTCTTCAATAATTGGTTCCTCCGCTAGTGATACCGCATCATTTGTCTGTTTGATACGTGGTTTGATTCAGCGGTCCAGCTCAGTGATCTCCACTTGCCTTGAACGGTACCCCAAAAATCAAGCTGGTATTATTTCTATTATTACGAATAGGAAGGCAAATGTGTACGATTTTAATCTCATTATTGACACCTACGCTTACTTGACGTCGTTATTGTTGCGGCTCGGAGAGGATGCTATTTACTGATTGCTTCTAGCAGCAGTCGCAGTAAGTGTCGCTTAACGTGAGATTTTCGCCCTTGAGCTATCACATACCTACGTACACTAAGACAAAACGAGAGGAATATTACCTGCCAACGATCGCTACATTCATTCTGCATTCATTTTGTCGCCATAAAAGCCACCGCAGCTTCTAAATTGTATCTGGGCTATTATTACGACACGTATAAACTGCTGTTCGTGCCCGAGTAGAGCAGTGAATTGCATCGGCACATTCTCAAACATTCGATAAAAATCCAAAGAAACTCCCGGGAAAAGTTGGCCGGTGGTAGATTTGACAAAGAACGAACTGACAGCAATTAGTTTGCTTTTAATTTGAAAGTATTTGCGGCTGTTTTTTTTTTCTAGGTCTTCCTAGTACGAGAGTTTGGACAACATGATTTCACTATACATCTGTTTGAGTACCATTTAGTGACATAGTTGCGCAGTTGTTATTACGCGCAGTTCAAGATAGTAGCGACATATATTGGGTTATGAATAATAACTTAAGCGTTTCAATCACATGCTACAGAAACCTCTTCGTCGAAAATATCTAAAGGGCCAATTTTTACAAAAAGGCTTTTACGTCTAGCTAGATAGCTCGAATCAACATGTATACGATCTTTGCATCGCTCTGTGCTTAAGAACTAAAGCGCTTAACCGAGTAGAGAAATAATCTGATCTTCTAAATCAATTAGTATATACAAAGCATGACGAGCTCTAAAAATATACGCACGCTTTCCGAGCAGTGGGATCTCTATGACTTTATCTAGTTATATGGAATGAAAACTAGAGAAGCGCAAAGAGTAAATATTAAGACAATTAAAATATTTTTTTTTAATTAACAAGTAATGTGTTCTAGCTTGAACACCGCAACAGATGTTTTGTGTCAAAGCTTTTCCTAGTAACTTTATGCCGAAATTTAAATGATATCGATACGTTCAGTTTTCGAATATTGTAATAATGGCAAGAACTCCAAATTGGCGCGGATTATAAATAACAAGGCGGTATTATACTTGTCATTAGGGCCACACTCGCTTCTACGAGCATCTATGAGCAGTTTTTGCACTGCTATTTGAAAAACCGCTCGCTAAATTACATCTGTGGATTAAACAGATCAACCTCTTATCAACTGTACTATTTAGCTAATAAGTCTAACTATGGCTCCATTTAGGTGCGTTACTGATAATTAACCAGTAAAATAGCTAGTAATCGATATTAAGTGTTTTGAGTTTGATATCTAGGCTGTTCGGCGTTGCTTTAAACGGCTGACTCCCAGTACGAAACAGACTATGTTTCCGCTGGGATTCGAACCTAGATCACTGCGTGTTCCGAAATTTAGTAATAGAACACGTTACCACTGTACTATCACGGGGACGATATAGAACTTCAGTTATCGCTGACTTGCGTTCTTCTTCATAAAAACCTATCGGGACGTCGTGCTCAAGTGTTATATCATCTCACAGGAATGCCTAACACACGAAACGTAAAAACGAATTTCGACGAGTCTACTCTTTTGCAGAGTCTCGATTCTTTGATGAGTTTGACTTAACAAAAAGCTGTACAAATCCACCTACAGATACACATGCTATAAATAAATGAGCGAAAGGGGACAATAAAATTCTAGAAAAACTAGTTCTCATTATCTATGGCTGAAACAACTGGAGATTTTAAAAAATCACCAAAAATTCCGCAATCGGTTTACATGTCTGGTACGGACACGATTCATCATGTCGCCCCTTTTATCCTAATCCTTTCAGTATAATCTGTAGTGCCATTTAGGCAATGCCTTACAAGTACACAAATCGTTTGACTGAATAGCAGTTATCTTATAATAAAGGATTCATGGACTAAACGAGCTACGTGACGAACAATTAGATAATATAGCATCCACTACAGATGCCAGTTCTTATAAGTCAATATGTCAATATAATTCGTTGTAAATATAACTAATGACCATTCATAGAACACATCTAAAGTGTCACATAGTCAGATACCAAACAATGAATGCACACGTTGAGCGACCATCGTGAAACTGACTCGGTGGACCTATATGATTCAGTGACTATATCGTGTATGTCGCATCCCTTTTTGCACATACAAAAATTGAATAAATTACTACAGTCAGCTGTTGCGCTCACATCATATAATAATCAATATTTTATTAGGGCAACAATAATTAAAGTTGGGAAAATTATAATCGAACTTAATAATGTGTTGCCGATACTTTTTAACATGACAATTTAGGATAGACAGGAATATAACCCTTTAGCATTTACAGAACTCACTTGAAGAAATCATGGTTAACTATTTTGGTCATCTAAGTGAACTTTGAATATATTAGTGTATTATTTTTGACATTATTATGGTACATTATCGTTAAAAGTCATTCTACTGCTCCTGTCTCTCTTAGTTAACCGCCGGTCACTCTAGGCTCTATATTACTATTTCTGGAAATTGTCAGTTTAGCTTAACTTTCTCGAAAGCATTTCCTGGGCCTCTAAAACTGCGTCCGAGCTGCATTTTTTGATAATCAAGAGCAACGGCGACCTCCGTCTTCGCCGTGCCTCCGCCACCAGACAACTAAATTTTCCCATAGCATCGAGGTACGACTGGTAGTATTTCGGCATATGCTAGGAAACCTGCTTTGACCCCAAATGCTGGCGCTGCAAAAAGGCAATCTTAGAGGTATCTGAAATCGGGACATTTTTTTGACATAACAG